AGGCCATGCATGATGCATTCGGTCAGGATAGTAGCGTAAGATTACTGAGATGCGGTACGCAGTATAGCAGCGAATCAGGAGTTGAAACACAGCAGTGGGCGTGGTGAGATCACACAATACACAGTCCTTAACACATATTAATTAATTCAGAGTCTCTAGCCTGCTTCCAGGCAAATAGCCAATTTTGGCAGTAACACAGTACTTGGTTAAATAAGGTTAGATAGAGCACAAAACACAACTTCATATGTACACTATTTACATATTTACATCACCCACCGCGCATTATGGTGAATTGACCGAGGTCTCTTCACCACGCTGTCCACGGTAGGGTCATAATTACGAGTTCTCTTAGCGTGTGCACTGGAGAATTATCCATTTTTTTTGAAGAAGTTGTGCGCCTCCATGAGGATTTGTTCAGGAATGGGCTTTATTTTCAAGTCTGCATGAATGATGCTATTTCGTACAAACCAGGGCGCGTTAGTGATGGCTCTCAAAATTTTGTTTTTGAAGGACTTCTAGTTTTCTCCTATCCGTCTTATTGGCAATTGCCCACGCTGGGGCGGCATAGAGCATAACTGGCCTAATCATAGTGAGATAGATCATGCGTTTAGCTTTTAAGCTCAATTTCGATTTCCTACCTATAACAGTATAAAGCGACATGAAAACTCCGTTTGCTTTATTTACTTGGTTAGTTACGTGCTCTTTGAAGGTGGGCCTATCATCTAGGGTAACTCCCAAGTACTTTGCGGACGAGCAAACTGGAATCACATCATTCTCTATCTTGATATCCGTGTTCGTAGTGACATTTCTTCTGTAGCGACGGAATTGGACAATTTTACATTTCGCGGTATTAATTTTAATTCTCCTATGTTGATGTGAAACTGTAGGTTAGTAAGAGCAAGTTGGGGGCTTTTAGATTCCGATAAAATCACCGCGTCGTCTGCATATTTCAGGGTTTTAGCATTCAGTGGGTTGGGTAAATCATTAACGAAAATGTTGAATAATTTTGGGCCAATAACAGACCCTTGCGGGACGCCGCTGGCAATGATTTTCCTTCTGGAAAGGGAGTCTCCAACTCTCACCTGGAAGGTTCTTCTTTTTAGGTATGAGATGATTAACTTCACAAGGCTGACAGGAAAAAAAGAAAGTTATTTAGCTTGTAAATCAGTCCTTCGTGCCAGACCTTGTCGAAGGCCTTCTCTAGGTCTATGAAGCATGCTGCCACACCAGTTTTGTGGAAAAAAGCTCTTCGTGATAAACTCAACGATATTTAGCACCTTGATGAGTTGTCCTGGTGGTGTTTCCGGAAACCAAATTGGTGCCGGGTCTATCAGATCCAATCTTTCTAGGATGGTCGGTGATTCTATTGTTTAAAGCTTTCTCAAAATATTTTTCCGATAGCCGGAAGAAGGCGATATAATTGGACGATAACTGTCTGCCAAGTGAGGGGTTTTTCCCTGGCTTCAGTATGGTGATAATAATCGAGTGTTTCCACTGCGAAGGGTAATAACTCGTCCTGATGCAAGCATTAAAGATGTTTGTAAGTAGCACTATACACCTTCGGAGGGAGGGCCTTCAGAGCACGGATTGCTGATCCCCGTCAAACCCGTGAGCTTTCTTGGTATTGAGATGGTTTAATGATAGTATAGACTTCTTTTCGGGGAGATGAATTTTATATAATCCGTATTAGCTCTGTTTTTAAGCATGTTGAACGACATTTTGAACCTCCTCTTCGTGCTGGGACTACAACGAACTGAGAGGTTTACCTCCTTTTATAAGATTTTAAATCGCGCGCGAGAATTTTCTAGTACTTTCTCGAAATAAAAAAGAGATATTTATTAAATGTTTAATGCACGCACTCTTGTATTTTCAATTTTCCGGCTTAGCTTCCTTTTAATATTCGTCACGCGCTGCACTGCGCGGGAAATAAAACCATTTAATTTATAATTGAACTAACATTAGCTTTTTAAATACCAAATTCGTAACAATATTGTAACAATTTTGTTTAGATCTATATCAACAAAATATTTTTCTTTCTGTTGTTTTGCAGTGCAGTACGTAACTTTTCTTCTCTTCCAAGAAAAGCCATTTTTTTTCACAAAGAATATGCGTATCCCTATCCATCTAAGATGATAGCCAGCTCTTTTAGAATTCAAAACATACTATAGCGACTATGCCACATCTTCAACGCCTGATCTTTATAAGCCCGTTCATCAGTCTTCCATGTAACAAAATAGGCTTCATGTATGTGCTTCAATCCAATTCAGATTACCGTATTTCCCGGTGACAAACCCCAAATGCAGCATATGTTTAGAATTTCCGATGCAGTGTTAAATGTTGCCATATGTTTTTCTATGTTTTTAATTTCATCATATCATTGTTCAGTTTTCTTAATCAGATGGCTTGCAAAACTTTTGTGTGTGTGTGCTTTTTAGTAACCTTTCGTGTGTTAACTTTATTTATTAAATATCATATTCTTCGCACTTACGCTACATAAAATTATTTCAACAGCAAAATCATAAAATATTTAAAAACAGCATATCTTTAGAATTCTTTTAGGAAATTTGGCACGCTGGAGATAAAAATGTTTTATTCAATTATTATTTATACAATGCCAGGAACATACATACATGCGGACTCTTCATTATTTAATTTTTTTAAAGATTTCTGAAAAGTGGATTGTATTTGATGGCAACAATTTGAAAAGTGTTTCTCCGTGATAGCGGTGAAATAACGGATGATGCGAAATACCGTTTCGAGACTAATAGTCCTTTTGGGCTAATAAATGCAGACATTAAATAGCATACACATGTCATTAGAATAAGCTAGATTAAAGGCATTCCTAAAAAATTTTAGAGTATTATTTTTCCGTTTTTCTGCCCCTAATAAGGAAACGTAAAATTTTCGCAAATTGCTAATAAACTGCTGTATATGTTTTTAAATTTTCATCATTTTTGTAAAAAAAATCTGATGTGCACACCGCATGATTTCCTTGTACGGAATATTAAATTATATGATTTTTTTCTTATTGGATTGAATTCAATCTACTTCGTCGATAGCGCATAAACCACAATAGAATAAATGCGCTCTTTAAAATTTAATATATTTGTTTACCATAGCGACACTCTGGCACTAGGTTCACTTAACAGCGTTACATTTCGTTCATGTTATAACTCAAAATGCATATAAATTTATATCATTTGAAGAATTACCTAATCGTTGACACATGTTCTTATTCAAATACTATAATAAATCTAAAACGATGTATAAAAGAAATTAAGCAAACACAACAAAAAGAAAGATTTTTCACAGACGATTCAGTATTTCTCATTCAATTAATTCAGTTCTCACTTCCAGACAAGACTAAAAATAATTTAATTCGCAATAATAAAAGAAGGCGTTATCTTTGTTGTTGCGAAGCTTAGTTTCTCTAGATTGGCAACAAATCCGCTATTTTGCCATGTTTGAAATGTAAACAAAAATATCGGCCCTCGCAAAATTAATTAGGCTTAGCTGCACTTAAACAATTTTTAAATTGTTGTTACTTCAAAAATATTGCATGCAGATTTACTAAAGGCATAAAAACCTTAGCCGGAAGATAAGAACAACATAATTCAATCATTTTTAAAGCAAAATATGCACAACTTACAAACATAAAAGAGTAAAGAAACTGAGATCACTGAGTCGGTTAACAGAGTAGATATATCTATATATACATATAATTATTATACGTTATCTTGCGGCCAGTAGTACAGTTCGTACGTACAGACGCTACGAAAAATTCTCTTTAGAATTCATTTTAAATCAGTTTTATAATTTTTTTGGGGGAAAAGAGTCTTTTATTCTGTTCTTACATACATATGTCACGCAAAAACATCATTAAATTTCATTCGATAGCGGTCAGAATGGATATTTTCGTTGAAATATTATGTCTAAAAATTTTCGCGATCACAAATTTTTACTTCGTACAAGGAAGTAAAAATGCAGTGAGAGGAGTAAGAATCGCTGCATGTTTCTATTTACGTAAATATATGTATATTTTCTTAATTCTACTACTTGTCGCGACCAAATATCTATTTTTAAAAGTATCCTTAAATTAAATTTAGTTGAGTAATTTATTTGTTCATCTGCATTAAAATGTTTTTGTGACGAATCAAGAAATTTATGAAACTTTTGAAAATTTAGGTTGTCTTAACTCCACATCTTCACATATTTATTTAGTAAACCTGCAATCATTATGTTGTTAAACATTTTATACTGGTTGGCAACAATAACTAATTTCATGGTAACCATAGTTTCAATTTATAAACTTCAAGTGTTATTAAGTGAAATCGTTTTTCGTCATATTAACGCCAAAGATTTTTCATTAATGAAGAAGTCATAATTGGTAAGGCGAAATTCAAGTAGTTTTAAGTTTCGTTCATCGGCATTTATTGCGTAATTTTTACTTATTCCAAAAATAAGTCGATTAACATTCTCATCTTGTCCATTTGTAGTGTTGTTGTAGTTGTTTTTAGGATGTACCTGCTGACTAAGAAAACTACGATTTATCATTGAGACATCAATATATATAGCTCTGAATATACTGATATAGTCATACAGTTTGCCTAAAATATGTCGGTTGCGAATGATTTCAATGAAAATTTGATTCTAGTGCTGAAGACTGAAAACTGTGTGATTCAAATGCAAAATTGTGCTTTCTCATTTCTGTTTGAAACCTTTTCGTGTTCTAGTATTACATTCATGCACTTTCATGTGTTCACTTAAAGTATGTAATAAAATAATGTAGAGAATGAATACATTTGTAAGAGGAATATTATAACGCAAAATATAGCGGTTATGTGATGGGAGAAAGAATTTGCAGAATTTTTTTTATTTCGTAAACCTTCATATTGCACCATAATTGTCTATGCACGACCTTAATTTTTGTTGCAGTTTCTTTCATAGTATCTATCCACAAAGAAGGAAGTTTAGCAAAACTAATTTATTCCTGTCTTAGAATGCAAGAAGTACAGCATCAACAAAATTCATCTCCGGCTGAATCCATTTCTACAGAAAGGCAACATTCTAATGTGATTTTCAGTGACGCTTTAGAGCCTTCCAGGAGAAAAAGTGTTCTAAGTGAAAGCACACCAGAAGGCGAAAGCCGTCTATCTTTTATTGATGATTTAGAAAGTAGAAATGATCATTTCTCTGAAATAGGAAAACTGTGTGAAAAACATGCAAATTCAATTGTACTTCTGGGACATCCCTTCAAAAAGAAAAATAATGGAAAGGAAATAAGCAAAGATAACCTGTCAGAAGCATTACTTAAGTTAAAATACAAGTTCTTAAAAACAGAATTAAAAGATATCATTGATTTAGACATAGTGGATGAAGTTCTTCATTGCCTGCACATCACTTTTATTTACGTTGTCAGAAATTACTTTGGTTCACCAGGGCCAAAAAGTGTTGACATAAAAGAATTAAGCAAATATACTCATATTCTTTTGCATGAAGATTCGAAGTCAACGAAAGATTGTCTCAAAAAAGCGTGTGCAATTAAATCGCCCCACTTTATTCTAAACCTGGAAATTATAGAAGCAGTGGGACTGGATCCTCTTAAGAATGCAAGGTTTTCCTTCTGTAAAGTATGGTTAAAAAGTGATCCTTATACTGTAGAATTAAGTGAATTTGTTGAATATTCTCCCCATCCATCTTGGAAAGCAAAATTCACTTTTGAAATAGAAAACTGGAAAACTGATGTGCTTTACATTGAAATTTGGTGTAGCGACTCTGAGTGCTGTGTTGTCACTCATAACTTGGCAAAATATGTTGCAAGTTCCGGAGTGGGGAAATTTTGCTGCTGCTTTTTTAACAGTAACAAAAAAGCGGAGAATCCCGATTTCATTGGAGAAACTAATGTGAGACTTAGTAATATCTTCTCCGAAGGCGTTGTTCAGTGGCTTCTGCTGAGTTCACCCAATAGTAAAAGTGAAAAGGGACGCCTCCTTATTGCGACGAAGTTTGCTGTCCCTTACTTCAAAACTAGACTTTCTGCTTTCAAACGGCATTTATTGATTTTAAAAATTTGTATGCAAGAGAGCGTGAAGGTAGAGGATAATCAAGGTAAAGAAATAAACAGTTGGGAGCTACTTTTAAATAGTTCTGCTCTTACGGTAGTATTCTTGCATAGTGTAATTAGTAATATAACAGTATGTGAAAATGTTGTATGCAGATTTTTAATTGCTAACCACATAATCTTAAAAAATGATCAAATTTCATACCAATTCCTCTACAGTATACTTTCTGAGACTGGGTCTTGCGTCAAACAAGCTGAATGCATGGAATGTTCTCTTGAGGAATGTCTAGAGGAAGTGTATATACAGGAAGTCAAAATTCTCCATAAAGAATGCTTTACTTTTATTAGCGAGTTACACGCCTTCGATTTAGTTAGAGAAAAAAGAAAATGTGAAGAATTTGAATATTCCCTAAGAATTATTTATTTATGTGAAGATATAACGGATATAATATCCGCTCCACTAATGATTCTAAAATCTGAAGCCCGTAATTGGTACGAAATGAAAGCGAAAGAAATTTTAGAAATTGATCATGAAAATAAGACTCAGTACCTCATTCAGTTCTTGGATTATATTATTAGATTCCAAATGACTGTCGATAACATCGTTCGGAAGGTTTTGCAGGAAAAATCTTATACAGGTCTCACTTATGATCTCTTAGATAATGCTCTTTATGAACCCTTGATGCTCTGTGTGAAAGAAATATCTTCAGAACTTAAAGATACAAAACCTGCTGTTGATATGGATACGAAGATAGAGGAACAGTTGCATCTCTTCATGAAAATGAAAGAATTGTTACATTATTTACTAAAATTTTCCCAAGAACCTGCTTCCAGCATTCAACTATATGAATTTCGAGATTGGTTTGGTCTTAAAGTAATCAACAATTGGTTTAAATGGAAACAAGTTTGTGTGGAAAAGGCAATAAAGGATATACTTGCCACTGACGATCTGGAAAATAAATTGACTGCGTATGGTGGGAAGTTCTCGAAACAAAGCAAATCTGTTACATTAACAATTGAATTAATAGAAAATTCACTGATAGAACTCTGGAGGATTGTATCACAACCACGATCGGACAAATTAGATTTTATCTTCTTAAATGCTCTTCACGAATGTTGCTTTAAATATGCAAACATAATACTGGATAAAGCTAAAAGCTACAGTTATGAAGATAGTTTTGTAAAGAGTGGAAAAATAGCTTTAAGTGTTTCAGCCAACAATTTGTGGTCGTTATCTGTATTCGCAGAAAAGGCAACTAATGAAACTGTAGGCAAATCTCTTTCTCGCTGTGCCGAAACTACGTTAGCGCTTCGAACAGCAGTTGTACGTTTTTGCAGAGATATAGCTGAGAGAGAAGTAGATTTCATTATTCCTATGATTAATGATGTTGTTCGTGCTTCATTTGAAAGTGATGAACAATCAGCTTTGGAAGTATACGAGAACTTCGTGAATAAATTGTTGTGGGATGAAGCAAGCATAGCTATGACATTCGAAGTATTTTCAATTTTCCAAGTGGAATTTTGGAATGCTATTATTAAATTAATTAGCAAATTATTGAACACTGAGGAGGCTCATAGTAAGTGTTCAATATTGATAAGATTCTCAGCTATTTTAGAAGTGACAGAAAATATCTTCTTTGCTGACAGTAGAGCAAACTTAACTGAATCACTGTGGACGGAAGAATACAAGGAATTAAAGTTCAAAATTCAGCAGATGCTTCTGAACTCTTGAGTGCGAATGAATTCCTGTGTGTTTTAAATATACTAAATATATTATTAAAGTGGTATTAATGTACACTTTATAAAAATGTAATGCTTTCTTTCTTCCGATTTATCTTTTCTTCGAATGAAGATGGTTCATATTTCGTGTTTTCATTCTTGAGTAATAGTTTTGCATTTTTTTACTGCTCCGATAACATTGCGATTGCATGTAAGGTTTTTTAAGGTAAAAATGTGATCTGCACACTGCAAATGAAGAGTTTTGGTTTTCACTTCCTTATACGAAATAAAGGAAGTATTGTACTCATGAAAAATTCCGGGTGTCATAGTTCAGCGTTAGTATCCATTTTAACTGTTACTGAATGTAATCTAACGAGGTTTTTGCTTGACATGTGTACATAAGGACAGAATGAAGGACTCCTTTTTTTCCCCAGACGAATGTTGTTTTTACGTTCGAGTTAAGATTTTATGCAATAACTGTAAAACTGTAAGGGGCATGCAATAATTGTAGAACTGTCTAAGCCTAACGTGTCGGCTATGTGTTTACATTTAAAACTCTTAGTAGTATAGTGAAGTAAATCAATTGGTGCACTAACTTCAGGGTCTTTTTGCCCAGTAGAACCAAAAGTTTAAATTTTTTGCATCGAAATTTTTATCTTCCTGCCCGTTGAACGGGTTGCTTGTTTTCCTAATGAAATTCTAATTATAATTGCAAAATTGCTTTTGTAAATCTCTTTGCCTGTAGTTGGTGTTTTAGTTTTTTCTGTATTTTGCGATTTTTAATGAAGATATTTTGAATTTTTATGTATGGCGCGAAGTGATTACAGTCAAAAGTCGTTAATCCGGACACCCATAATCCTGAATGACCTATAATCCGGACCTCAAAACTACAAACTTTCTGCGCATGCGTCAACGCATAATGCTTTCACGCATGCGCGTAATATTTTTACGCATGCGCATAATACGTGTACGGATGCGCCTTTAATGTATAATGGACAGTATAAGCTAAGCTAAAATTATCTAATTATCCATTTCAGTTAATGTTGCAGATTGCGTTGTTCCTTAATATCGAATTGGATCGGCTTATTATTTTTTGCGACTGTTGAAGCAATTTATAAAAATACTTGAATTTTCGATTATGTCAAAAAGATTTCCGTGTTGGAGCTGCCAAGGATCTACAAAGCGAAAGTATGTTTCGATGTCCTTCAAACAAAAAGTGGATTGCTGCAAACAATGGTGAAGGCATATCCTTTGTTTCTCTAACCATTCCGAAATTTGTTTATCAATTTCACGCTGCTTGCAGGGGGGGGAACGCCGCGGCGGCAAAATGGCAGTTGAGTTAAGTCAGCACTCCTATCTTCAGGGCGGTTGTTTTATTTTATTCGGCTTTAATTCGGCTTATATATTCGGCGCTTGGCCACAAAACTGGATGTGCTTCTTTTTGCGAAATATTAGTATATTGAACACGCCCTCCGATTAAAATTATTCCTCTTTCATCTAGAATAGAGTTAAATTGCCTAATGATTGAATTTGCTGGCAATGGTCTTCCTTTAGTTAAAGCCAAATATTCTTGCGGGAAGTACTCCATCTGTGTTCCTTTGATCCAATACTATTCAGCTAGTTGAAATTCTTCTGTTGTTAAACACCCATTTTTCTTATTGTGTGAATTCTTCACATTGTAAATAAATCTCTGAATCCAAGCTGTGGTTCGTAATACGTTGCTAAGTTTGTTGAATTTCCATGTCAAAGAGTGTTTGTGATTCAGTTCCTACGAAAAAGGTAACAGAATACGACGCTTTATGTTACGGTACATCATCGCCTGTCACAATTTGTATCAATAATGGTTCATTTTTGTACTGGGAAAGCAAGGAAGCGCAGGCGGCGATTCGGTCATCCCGTTGATTAGCTGTCAGGTTATGTGGAACCCGACGATCTAACTTTCGTAAAACCCAACTTAACCAGCCGTCTCTCGACCGTTGTCCGGTGTACGTTGAAGGTCTCCGCTAATTCTTGCACGGTTGGGTTTGGGTTGTTCCTTATTGGCTTGGTCAATATCGTCTTCTCTAACGTGTGATGGCCGTGCACTTCTAGCCAGATCTTGGAAGCTTCTGTCTCCTTCCCTAAATTTACGAAACCACCGACGACATGTGCTTTCGTCTACTGCATCCTCCCCATAAACTTGATAAACATTGCGACATGCTGCGGCTGCCGTACTCTTTTTATCGAACTCGTATAACAAACAGTGTTTTATATGCTCCTCCTCGCTTTCCATGTTACACCTTCTGAGATTTTTTTTTGAGATGATTAACTATGCGAGACACGATGCATTTATATGTGAAGCATCCACGCGTTTGATTGGCCGATGATTTTCATCATTACAATGTCATGTGTGTCATGTGTGACGTCAATTCCATTGAAAATTTACATATCCAAAAATATCCATTTTGGGATATGCAAATTCCTTTATTGACACATTATAACTCATTTACAAGAACAACACAAGACATGACAACTTGACATTTACAAGAACTTTTACACTCACCCAATATAAATATCTGATGTGAACACCACACAACTTCCTCGTACGGTCTATTAAATTACACATATTTTTACTGTATTTTATTTAAACTTGTTTCCTCGAATTTCATTAGAGACATATTTCCAATTAAATCAATTAAGTTCTCCTTTCGCGGCACCCAAAAATACATAAAAACTCTATCATCATTAAAAATTCTAAAACATAGAAAAACCTAAAACACCAAATACATTTAAAAACAGTTAATTTTTTTTTTTTTTTTTTTTTTTTTTTTTTTTTACAATTAAAATTAGAGTTTATACGCCATACCATTTATAAGCAATTAGACCAGCGGGCAGGATGACAAAATTCTTGGTGGTGGTGGAAATTAACTTTTGGTGCCATTGATTGGGCAAAAAGATACTGAAGTTGATTTGAGAAATGACTTAATTTACTATTCTACTAAGAGTTTCAAATATAAACAAATGGTGGCCTCGATGGGTTTAGCCACTTTTAAATTATTGATAATTCTACAACTATTGCAGGTAAATTTAACTAAAGGCATTAAACCTTAACTAGAATAAGAACAATAAAATTCAATAATTGTGTAAAAAATGCGTTATTTACCAACACATATAATAATTAAAAAAAAAACGGAGCTCACTCAGCCGAGTAACAGAATTGCAAGATATATGTATATAAATAATAGGTTTGGTGCGACCGATTGCAACGAAAGAGGGAGATGCACAACTACATACTACAGTAGACAATATATAAAATTGAAACGTTCTACGACTACTCGGTTTTAAGTTATGAGAGATACATATGTACATACGTAGAGACGTCGCGAAAAAAAATCTCTTCTGAATCCATCTTAAGTCCATTTTACATTCCGCTTTGGAAAAAAATAGTTCTTTATTTTATCCGTACGTACAGATATCATGCAGAAACATTGTTCAAATGGATTCAAGAACGAATTGGAAATGTATATTTTCTCAGGAATATCAATACTCGAATTTTTCGCGATTATATAGTAATAAAAATAGTTTTCAACTTAACTATTACTGAATTCCTTATAATGAAGTATTACTTCTCAAATTATGCCTTTAATTGTATAGATTTTTAACCTGCTGGGAAGATATCACATAATTGCATAGTTTTATCATTTTATATGCATGTTATCTGATGATTTTTCGATTTTTATTTCTCCATTATTTAAAATTTTATCAATATCAGATAGACTGAAGGTAAAGAAAAAAAAAAAAAAAAAAGAAAGAAAAAAAGTAACACTTTTAACTAAAATATGGCATTTCTCTCTGTATGTGCATTAAAATCACTTTACTTCCTTTATATATATATTGATATAATCCTTAGAATTTGGCTAAATAACAGGCAATTAAAAATATAAGACCAAGTCTGTAATCTTTTAATAATCTGAATACAAGATAGCTTTAGGTATGAGACAACCCTACATTTAAAAGGCATTTTACAAAGTAAAGAAATTTTTCGTGTAACATAACCTCATATCCATCAGATTAATATGTTGTAGATGATCTGAAAAAAAAAGTTAATGAAAAATAGATAAATAATGTATAGTAACGTGAAATGTTAAAGGATTACAGTTAAATTTTTAACATGTTTTTGAAAGTTACATTAACATGTTCTGAAAACATGTAAAAGTGAGTATAGTTTTCAGTAAAGCGTTTCAAAGAACTATTTTTTTTTTTTTTTTTTTTTAATTTTTATCTAGGCTAATACAACAGTTTGTATTCTTTAGAATATTTAACTGAAGGAAGTAATGTGGTCCCAAACTGCGTTACGCTTCTTTCTTCATGTCTCAAACGACATATTTTCAAGCACGAGAAGCTTTTACAGGAAAATTAACAAAATTATAAAAGATAAAAAATGGTGAAGAATTTTTGAGATGAGTACTTGAAATTTTCATTCACCGTGTGCCTGAAATTTTCAATTTAGAGTGGGATTTTCATGCGAAAGCTTTAGTTAGGCAAGGCAGGTAGGTATCAGTGATCGCTGTCAAGCCTAGTTCCCCCCCCCCGAATATGACAGGTTTTGAATTTTTAGACTTTTTCGAAAAGTTTGTCACCTGGGGGAAAAAATCATATTTAGATATTCATATATCATATTTATATAAAATCATATTAAATGACATATGATAATCATATATTATCATATATCATATTTATACAATTTTTTTCCCTTACAAATATTTGCTCAAATTATGATTGCATTTTTTCAGTTATTGGGGAAAACGCGCCAAAAAAATTTCTACAGAATGCTTTAAGAGGTAATAAGGTATTTCTCGTAACTTCTTAGCATGCCTTCGTAATGTGTAATGGTGAGCACGCTCAGCGCGTATTCGAGAGGTCCGTGGTTCGAGTTCCGGCGAGGGCGTTGCTCATTTTTCACATCTCTCCTGCTTCGAATTAACCTATTGTCTCTACAGTGCGCTCGAAATAAAAGGTGGTGAGTAATGATTCTTCACTATTAGGATTTGGCGACTAGGCCGCTAAACCGTAGTCGCACTTTAAAAGAGGAAGTATATAAGGTATTTCTCCCGCCTTCTTAGCATGCCTTCGTGGTTACACGCTGTCAGCGCGCTCGGTGCGTATTCGAGAGGTCCGTAGTTCGGTTCCCGGAGAGGGCATTGCTCATTTTTCATCTCTCCTGCTTTCAAAAATTACCTAATGTCTCTACAAAGTTGCTTACTGATCGCAACAAGTTAAATGTCTTATTTTCATCAGTTATTATAGTGCACTTGTTCCAAAAATAAATGTTATTTCTTTTTCCTATTCTTTTCACTTTCTTGCACGAAGTAAAGGAAGCGTCATAATCAGAGAAATTACAGGTGTCATATTTCAAAGTAAATATCCATTTTGACCGCTCTCGAATCCAACTTGACGATGTTTTTGCAAGACATCTGTACGTATGGACAGAATAAAGAATCCTTTCTCTCAAAACGGATTGTAAAATCGAATTAAAATGTATTCAGAAGTACGTACGTATGCATGTATCTCGCATAACTCAAAAACACATTTCAAACAAGCAATACCCAATTAAAAACATCAATGAAATGTTAAAACGAAAACACTTGAAACAAGCAATATGCCAATTCAAAAAATCAATGAAATGTTTGAAGTGTTTCGGTTTTAACATTTATTAAATTCTTTTTTGCATTTATAAGATTATTTGAAATTCATTATTTATGAATTTCAATTTTTAGTCTTTGTGAAAAAGTGGTTCTTCTAAATTTCTTACTTTATGTCTTTACTGATAATTTTTCAGCAGCTTATATATATATATATATATATATATATATATACAGTGTCTCACAAAAGTGATGGGACACTCGTGCTTTACAAAAGGAAACTGTAATAAAATAAATTTAAAAAACATGTAAAAATTTTTTGTGGGTGTGTTTCATACTTAAATTTAGTAACAAGTATTACATAAGATGCATTTTCTCAAAATATTAAAATATTAATTTAATAAAAATACAATTGTTCAGAACGGAGCAAAAAATGGCTCACATAAGTGATGGGACACCATTAGATACTACTACGTACTACAATAAAAATATTTTGGGGTTTTTTTATTTTTACTCAAAAGCAATTGGCAATAATTTATAAAATCGTCTGCAGTATTTCTCTCCAGTTTGTTTTGGAAATTTTGTGTTCTTTAGCTCTGTTCAGCCATGAATGCTAAACGAAAAGAAACTTTGCCTGAAATTCGAAAATTAGTTATTAATTTGCATATTGAACGTGGAAAATCTATTAGAGAAACTGCTGAAACAGTTAACTTGAGTCATTCAACAGTTTTCAATATCATTAAACGATATAAAAAGAATCATATGATTCAGGATAAACAGAAGACCTCGCCGACCATCAAAGCTATCCAAATGGAATAAAGCGAATTATCGTTGGAAATATTAAAAAAAAACTCCAAGAATGAGTGCTCCTATAGTTGCTGTCTGATTTACAAGCATTATATGGAGTAATTGTTAATCCTGAGACTATTGGAAGAGTAATTCGATATGCTGGATATCACGGTTAGAGCAGCCAGGAAAAAATTCTTCTTCGTAAGTGAAAAGAATAGACAACTCAGACTGGCTTTCGCAAAATCCAACATAAATAAGAATTCTGATTACTGGAATGAAGTTATATTTTGCTGATCAGAGTAAATTTAATATTTGGTTCTGGCGGTAGAATCTTGGTGTGGAGAAAATCCAGGGAAGAATTTCGCAAACAGAACTTGGTGCCAACAGTAAAACATAGTGGAGGAGGAGTTATGGTATGGGGGTGTATGTCGTTCCGCTGGAGTTGGTAATCTCGTTTTTATTGACAGTATAATGGATCAATACAAGTATATTGACATTTTAAATCAAAATTTGAAATCTTCAGCACAAAAATTGAACCTTCATAACGATTTTAAATTCTACCAAGACAATGGCCCTAAGCACACTGCTTTGAACGTTAGACTCTGGCTGCTGTATAACTGTCCTGAAATAATAAAAACACCACCACAATCTCCAGACTTGAATCACATAGAGAATATTTGGCAAGAATTGGAATCATGAATTCGCAAACACACCATTTCTTCAAAGCAACAATTAAAATCGGTGCTTCAAGAAGAATGGGGTAAAATCGCTCCAGAAATCATAAAAAAATTAGTCGAATCCATACCAAGAGGATTAAATCATGTTTTAAAAGTAAAAGGAAACCCAACAAAATAGTAAAACC